TTGTCTCTGGCTCTATATTAGCTTCTTCATTGCCTTGTTTTACAAGAAACACATATTTCATTAGGGTATATAATTACGTTCTTTTATCGAAAAACCCGAAAAAGAAATTTAGTTACCTGTATGTTCTATGGATACTCCGGGAGATGTTTTCGCCCTCGCGGCATTAAGCTCGAACATGAAGAGCATGATGTTGTACCAAATCAAGCTTTGCAACACAACAATTTGGACCAAGAAGTTCACAGCTTCATCTCCATCAATAGCATTCAAGATTGGGATTCCAAGAATGAGAGTGTTTGGCAACACGGATATAGATAATCCAGTTATGATCCAACCCAATTTTCCTCCTCTTCCTCCTGTTGGATGCCAGAATCTTAATACCGCGGCTAATACAACAACAGCGAAGACTTTCTGGAGAATATCAGAGATAATGAGTTTAGGGCTCATCTTATAAGGGTTGTTTTGGGAGATTACTTGGAAAGAAAGCAAAGGGATCGAAAATTTTGCGACGAATTTGTTGATGCCTGCGCATTGTTCGGGTGAGAAGAGGTTTAGGTGTTTTGCAGAGAGGTAGCCTAAGATCATTGAGACATAGAGAGGAACAGTTGCTGAAACAACATTGTAGATATCATGCCAAGAGATCATTTTCTTTTAATTAAAGAATTGGTTTTTTAATTGTCTGAAATTGTTTAATTTCATACAATTCAAACAATGAAAAATCTGAAAGAAAATCAAAGAAACAGTTTTCTCTTCCAAATAATGGAAAGAAACTGTTTGATCTAATGGCATATAAATGGGTAAAGTCGATGATGGCTTTTTCTCTCTTTTGTTCAAAAGTAGAACTCTTGAATTTCAAGGTTTTTTATTCCACAATGGAATTTTGTTTCCAAAGAAAAAAAAAATGATGAGGGGGATTAAAGGGTTTAATTTATTTATTTTTCTTATCATTTGTTAAAAGAACAATTTTTGGCCATTAATTTAATTATAACTCTTCTAGAGTTGGGTTTGCCTAAAATTATCATATCAATGTAATATTCATTTTCTTTGAAATTTTTGGCATTTTCTATATAAGAAAAGGAAAACAAAAAAACACAAAAGATAAAAAGAGAAGGCTGTTTAATTTGTCTTTTGCATGAACAAAGAAGAGCTAAATATGCTCCAACAGAACTTTAGTTCTATAGCCTTTGATTTGTTCTTACCTTAGATACTTAATACTTAAATTAAAAAGAAAAATTACAAAGAAACTGCTCCTTTTTTTTTTTTTTTTGGGTCACAGAAACTGCTCCTTTTTAATATGCATAGATAACGTGTAGCCTATTTGTATTTATATATTTATGACCATTTCTAGCTAAATAAGATAAACAACATAAAAATCTTTTTAAGTAGTGTGTGATATAGTAAATTGGCCAAGACACTTTGGTCAAGTGGTTACACCATTTTAACCGTCTTTCGGGCATCGCGGGGTTGATTCCTATCATGGGGTAAAATATGAGATTCATGAGGGGCTAGACAAAAAAAAAACTAATGACATTGAATTCT